AATATCCACATGTGAAAGAATGAAATTGGAGCCTTTTCTTATTCCATACACAAAATAAATTTAAAGTGAACTGAAGACTTAAACACAACACCTGAAACCATAAAACTCCTAGAAGAAAACATGCGGAATTTCCTTGACTTTGGCCTTGCCAATGGTTTTTTGGATATGACTACCAAAACATAGGAAAGAAAAGCAAAAATAGAGAAATAAATTACGCCAAACTAAAAAGTGCCTGTACAGCAAGGAAAGTATCAAGAAAAGAAAAATGCAACCTATGAATTGGTAGAAAATAATGAGCAAACCATGTATCACATAAGGGGTTAATATTAAAAAAATAAAGAGTTTACACAACTTAATAGCGAAAAAAAGTGGATTTAAAAAATGACAAAAGTACCTGAATAGACATTTTTCCAAAGAAGACTTACAAATGGCCAATAGATATATATAGAAAGAGGGGGGATATTCTAAACACTGGTATGAAATGAGAAAAAAAATTGATAGAACCAGAAAAATAAAAGTTATTCAGTAGACATGAGGACTAGGTTTCAGGGATGAGAGATTCGGGTGTAATTCTATAAAGGAAGATTGAGATGAGTCTGGGAAGAACCTTGATTGCCAGGCTGAGGGGCTTGGCGTAAGTATAGATTTTTAAAAATCTTCTTTTAAGGGCATCAGACTGTTGTAGAAGCAAAAAACTAAAATTTTGGAGAGAGAGGAGCACTTCCTCAGTGAGTTGATATGGCCAACCATTTAATTCTCTGGGAACACTTATAAAGTCTAGGTCTATACTGAAGATTGAGTTTGGCATAAGCAGATAAGCTCTAGTAGGGGAAAGAGAAAGTGGTGGAACACTGAATACAGGCTGATAGGACTAAGTGAAATCTAGAAGAGCCCTAGATGTATGGTTGGTTTTCAATGTGAGACATTCACTGAGTGTTTCTAGGTGAGAGGATATGGTGTATTGGGAGACTGGGACAGAAAAATTCCCCAGGAATATCCCTCGGTGTTATTTGGGGGTAAATGCTTAGGAGACAGAGTTCCACTGGAACGAAGGCCCTAATACACACCTCAAGTCTTGTTCTTGAGACATTTGAAACTAGAGTAGGACTATGTCTAACTAAAAGTGCCATTTAACACTGATCTAGCTCAGATTTTGGTAAGAATGAGGTGATCTGCCTTGTATTCTAACATAGTAAAGAGCAAATTGTCTCCTGTTGAAAATAATATTGATTTTAGTTTTTATGATTCTCTTTTACACAACATCCAACATATAGTAAAATGTTATGAGGTCTATGAAGAATCAGGAAATATTTGAAGATATAATGGTGAAGACCTTTCCAAAACTGATGAAAGAATCAGCCCACAGATTCAAGAAGCTCAGCGATCTCCAAAAGAAACACATAGGAAACCACCCCAGACAACTATTGTCAAACTTCTGAAAACCAAGTAAAGATAAAGTCTTAAAAGTACCAAGTGAAAAAGTAAACATTATCTACAAAAAGAAAAAAAATCATATCTGACTTTTAAACAGAACGATACCTGACTTTTCACAGAAACTATGGAAGTTAAATGACAATGAAATGACATTTTTAAAGTTGTAAAGATGTGAGAAACATCAAGAATTTTAAAGCCAGCACATCTGAGAATTGTGTATCTAGTAAAAATACCCTTTAGAAATTAAAGCAAAGTAAAAATGTTTTCAGACAAAAAAAAAAAAAAAAAGCTGAGATCCATACTACAAAAAGTATTAAAGGAAATTCTTCAGTTGAAAGGAAACTTATTCCAGATAGAAGCATGAAATGCAGGAAGGAATGAAGCACACAGAAAGGGTAAATATAAAAGAATATTGACAACTTAAAGTCACAATTACCATATTATGTTTTTACATAAATAGAATTAAATTGTTTAAAGGTTCTTCCATTGTTGTAGAAGCGGTAAAAATATCCATTTAAGTTTGAGCCAGAAAAATCTCATAATAAGTCAAAAATTCATTTTTATTTTTAAAATATAGAAGGTTAAAATTCTAATAGAGAAAGTGCAATAATAAAAATGCCATTAATACAAAAGGTGGCAGGAAATAAGAGGTATGGGAACAAAGAAGGGACATATCGAAAGCAAATAGCAATACAGTCAACTTAAGCTCAGCTAAATCATTACATTAAATGTAAATGAAGAAAATATTATGATTAAAACTCAGATTTATTTTTCACACAAAAAGGTAAGATTTGTAAAAAAAAAAAAAAAAAAAAAAAAATGCCAATAATTTACAACTTACATAAAATGAATAAATTTTTTGAAAAATACAATTTACCAAATGTAACTCAAGAAGAAATAAAAAGTCAGAATAGTCCTGTATGTGTAAAGGAAATTGAATTTGTAGAATTGAAGGTCTAATTTTAAACCTCACCATAGAAAAATCCAGAATTTTCAGCTTCTGTGTAGGATACAGAGGCCAGAAAAATTATGTTCCCAACATAATAAAAGCCAGATAATCTACAAAATCATAAATGTTTACAGATCCTTTAGAAAGTGGATAATCTACAAAATCGTAAATGTTTATGAATCCTTCAGAAAGCTGAGATCACAGGTAAACCAATTAGCCTGAAATTTAAGGAAAAACAACTTGTACCCAGTTGAGACAGGAGGCAAGCACTGTTTCACCCAAAGCAGGGCATGGAATGAAGACTAGTTGTTACACAAGTGGATAAAATAATTCATTTACATCTGTGAGAGTACAGAAGCTCCTAGAACTTCAGACACTAAAGGACGTGTTCAAAACCACTTATAGACTCTTCCCTGTGGATGTTCACTGTGTGATCATCAGAAAGATTGGGAGAAAGGCTGGAAACCACAGAAGATTGCTTTGGTGGTGCAGGCATGGAGAGAAGAATGGTTGTTGAAAAAAATAACCAGGAAGCTCCATTTGAATGCCTCTAACCTACAGAACAAAAGCATTAATTCACTGCAGGAGAGGCATCACTGTGACACCCTGAATGAATAGGTGAAGATGTGTTCCAACTTGAGGAAAGGTAAAGGAAAAGTAACAACAAGAAGCAAACTAAAACCAAACCTTGAACATGAAGAAAGAACAGGAAACTGTCTTGGGACCAACAACTAGAGACCTACTACATCAAGTGAACATGCAGGTGCACTAAGAGAGCCCTGCTCCTGAGACCCTGGGGCATAGGGCCTGCCTAAGACTGGAAGCTGGACCAGGACAACAGAGAAACCACCAGACACCCACCTTCCATTTCCCAAATACAAGATCCTCAATGTGTATGCCCCTGTCACTTGAGCTTCAAATACACAAAGCAAAAACTTATAGTACAAACATCAGCAATGTAAAAATATGCATTTGTAGTTGGAAACTTTAACACTCCCTTTAAGTAATCTATAGAACATAGACAGGAAATGAGTAATGATATAAAAACCTGACCAACACTATCAACAATCTTGTCCAAATTGACATTTGTAAAGTCCTTCTGTCAACAATAACAGAATACACATTCTTTTCAAGTACACATGAAATGTTTATCCAGACAAGCTATATTCAGTCATAAAACAAACCTTAACAAATATAAAGAATTGAAATCATGTAATGCATGTTTTTGATCATAACAGAATTAAACATCAATAATAGAAAAAAAATTTGGAAAAAAATCCCAAATATTTGGAAGCTAAATGACAAATTTCTAAATTTCTAATGGTGTTAAGCAGAAGCAACAAAAGAAATTAGAAAATATTTTGAATTCAATGAAAATGAAAAGAGTATATCAAAATCTGAAAGATGCATCTAAAGCAATGCTTTGAGGAAGATTTGTAGCATTTAAGGTTCATATTAGAAAAGAAAGCCTTAATAGCCTAAACCTTCATCATATGAAACTAGAAAAATAAGAGCAAATTAAATCCAAAGCAAAGTTGAAGGAAATAAATGAGGATAAGAGCAGCAATCAATAAATTTGAAAACAGAAAAACCATAGAGAAAAAATAAATGGAACAAAAAATTGGTTCTGTTAAAAGGTAAAATTAATAAACCAAAAGAGAGAAGACACTAATTACAAATATCAAGAATGAAAGAAAATAGCACTACAGACCTTATAGACCTTTATTCTACATTGTGGCTTTTTCTTTTTTTTTCTTGCTTATTTTTGACAATTCTATCAGGTTGCCATTCATTTCATGTTTGCTTCAAGAAGGAAGAAATTAATATTTAGAAGGTAATACTGACAGTATTTGAAAACCACTTGAAAAGGAGAAAAGGAAATGAGGGAGAGAAAGTCAATTAGACGGAACCTTACCCTGAGATGCCAAATTCATAACAGAAACTTTGTTGATATGTTATTTTCTGGGGAATGTGAGCCTGAGTGAGATAATAAATTCAACAAGGGGAATACTAAATTTCATTTATCTGAGGGACATTCAAATAAGGATGTCTAGTAGGCAGATAAATATGTGAGTTTGGTGTTTGAAGGGAGGTCTGAAGTAGAGATTCAAGTTTGGGAGTCATCAGCTTACAGGCAGTATTAAAACCATGGGAGTAGACAGATGGTATGCAGATTGAAAAAGATGAGGCCCAGGATGATGTCCCCTGACCTTGTAAAAGTAGTTTTCAATTCCTTGGTACCACAAGACGCCACAGGGTGCAGTCCCAGGTACCAGGAAAAAGAACTAGCATAAGCAACTGAAGACTTTTGTCCTAAAAGAAGAACCTAGAACAGCTCACTATATTAAAATGAGGTTGGGCCTGGCACCTGGTGATGGAGTGAGACTCTGTCTCAAAAAAAAAAAAAAAGGTTGGAGTTGTATATACAAATAGTGGGCAAATGCACGCAGGCACTTCTTGGACTTAAAGCTGTTCAGAAGAGAATAAACTTTCTAACTAGATTTTAGGGGCTAGACATAAAAAGTGAGCTGAGGAAATATCTAACAAGGGCTGCCACATAACCAGACTGTATTGTTAGACGTGGACAGCATTATGTTTGTTTTCTTGTTCGTTTTTCCCCGAAGTATTACAAAACACTAAAAGCAGGTGATAAATATTATGTTTTAAAGGTATTGCTAGAATGTTATTAAATATTCCAGAATGGGTAATACATATTCCAGGCATATGAACATAGGCATATTTATAGGGAGAAAATCAATTTTCTGTTGTTATCTAGAACTTATGTTCATACTATTGTATGGTATCACATTCATTTCTCCGTGTCCAAATTCTTGCTTCCATTATGAAAGTCAGAGCTGGTTTGGTGAGGGAGAAATAGTCTCTTCTGTTTACTCTCTTATAATGAAAATCTTTTTCTCTTATTTGGCAGCAAGAATTCTACCTATATGATTGTGTGGAACTATAAACCTTCAATAACATCTGTGATACCTTTTAGTTAATGAAAAATAGTGTTATACTTTTATACTTTAGTTTGCAAAGAAGAGAGATTCCCTCATGGTACCTCAAGAAAAAAAGACTCTGGTAAAGCTTCATGTGAACTGAAAATGGAAAGCTACCAGGTGCCCAAGGATCTTGAAGGAAAAGCTTTTCCTTCATCTCTGCGATGGGCTACATTATTTCTCTCACAGCATCTTTACTTCCCTTCTTGCATCTGCTCTGATCACCACTTTACTAACTGGCCGCCTCTGCCTATATATCATTTCTGTTTCTTTACAGGTCTGTATTGAACATAACTTCAGCTTTCCATAGCTCTTCAGCTCTACCTCCTGGCATCCTTTCCAATTTTCCCATTTCTATCTCACTCATTATTTGCAATTTTAGGTTTACAAGAATAAGAATGCTAGATCTAGCTCATCTGTTCTGTCAGTTTGTCTTATAGGTTTCTGCTAGCCTAAAGGTTGCCTATTCTTGAGTCGGGTACACTCATCCAAACACTACTAACTTAATCATGTAGTTCAAAACTTGGCCATTTTGGCAGAAATGGATAAGCAATTTTTCTATTTGAAAAAGCTATCTGCATAAGTTTTCAAGGTTTGACCTTTCCTGTAAACACTGTAAAAATGTTTACATCCTGTAAACTTTCGTCCAGATTTTAGTGCATTATCTTGTATGATAAATTTCTCTCTTTTATAATTTTTTTGTATTTAGAAATACATATTTTGGGATGAAGTCAATTCTGTGGTATTTCCTAGCTTAGTAGCTTCCCATCTACAAATAGAAAACACAAATAATCCTTAGTTGAAATATAAACATTTCAGTTTTGGTGAAGTATACCATTACCAACTTGTAATGGTATTACAAGTCATCACTCTGTATACACCAGAGTGACCCCAAATGCTCCATAATCTAGGTAAACTGCCAGGAAGTAGGCAAAAGGTTATTTAACTTCCAAACCCCAGGTCTTTGCTCTGATGGTCACTTCAAAATTCTACAATTCCAAACACCTTTGAAGGCATTCAGTTAAGGTCTCTGGCCTCTAGATGGCCCTCTATCTTTTGGGAATGCCTTAAGGTCCAGTTCATGAGGGAAAGTTAAAGCCAGTGATCTTTATGGGATAGCACAATTTACCCTGTATCTTTGCTCAAGGAGTTCCACAGGCTTCCTAAAGCATACTAGAATTAAAATTTTCTCTCTTTTGATGAGTCTCTCCAAAGCAAGGAGTAATACCTGTTTTACTTTTGCCCACATGTGACGGCACTTGATTTTATTCAACCCCTGGATTTCAGACATACCTTAGCATTTTGTGAGTTGTAGTTAAAATCTCAGCCACTCTAGGAATACAACCATAATCTCCTAAACTCTGTCCTCACCTACAACACAGTCCTTTTGGCTTTCAAGAACTATCTGCAATCAGGCTCAGATGTGCCATTCCTTTCTTATGTAAACAGATGAATCCGAAAGTGGAAAGTTATGTGTATTAAAGCGAGGAGAAGGATAGAGAAAGGTGGAAATGAAGAAAAAGAACAAATCTGAAAGGAATCAGAGAAACTTTATGCTGGTACTATTGTTTAGATTTCTAAAGGAAATGGAAAGATGTTTGGCAATGAGAGACGCCAATGTGATTTTTAGAAGATAGTTGTTTTCTTCAGCATTTAAAATTGTTTTTGCTTTGTTTCAATTTTCAAGATGATTATAGAGCTTGGGACATTCATAAAAGTAAACTTTATAAGCCAGAACAAACTTACCACCCCCCTACTGCGAAATTTGGAAATTCAACGATATTTCAGGATGATTTTGTTCCTCAGGAGATAAAGCCTAGGCAAAGCTTTAAACCTTCCTCTGTGGCCAAACGTTCTACAGCCCCTTTTAATGGTATTACAAGTCATCGCCTTGATTATATACCTCATCAGCTTGAACTCAAGTTTGAAAGGCCAAAAGAAGTTTACAGACCAACTGATCAACGCTTTGAGGATCTCACAACTCACCAGTGTGACTTTCAGGGCCTTGTTGGTGAAACTGCAAAAATCTGCAGACCTGTACACACCAGAGTGATGCAAAATGCTCAGTTTGAAGGAAGCACTGAATTCCGTGAAAGTTTTCAACCATGGGAAATCCCACCGCCTGAGGTCAAGAAAGTACCAGAGTATATGCCTCCTACAGGTAGCATGCTGTTAAACAGCACAAGCCATCTTGACTATGTTCCGTATCTGACCAACTGTGTTGTTCCCATCAGGCCAGTTTCTCATAGAAGTAGTAACTATTTTCCCTTCCAAGGAAAAAGCACCATGAAGGAAGATTTTCCAGCATGGGAAAGTTGTCGTCAAGGACTTATTAGGAAGCAGCAGCAGCAGATTCCCAACCCATCTGGAAAATTTGATAGTTTGAGCACTTTCAGATCTCACTATGTGCCACATGAATTGATTCCAACAGAGAGTTGCAAACCTTTAAATATCGCTTTTAAGAGTTCTGTTCCATTTGATGATGTAACTATGTACTCTGTAGAGTACACACCGAAAAAACAGGAAATTTGCCCAGCTAGCTATGCCTCTCGTCCAGGTTATATTTTTGAAAACACAAATTCCTAAGGTCATAAATTCTTCTGCAAGATTACTCCAGCAGTAAAGGTCTTCTAATAACCAAATTGTGCTTAAAAGGAAGCTACTAGCAAGTTGTTGGTTTTCCAAGAGAAAACTCAATTTTACAGTGAAAAAAATTAATGATATAATAAATCATTTTTTAGATTTTTAAACAAGAAAATGAGAAAATGTATTCTAAGAAATCAGAATCTTAAAACTATTTTGTATTGATATTTTAACCAAGATTGTTCTTTAATATGCATTTCGGAAGGTTGAATAATATGCATTCCCTATGAACTATTTTAATACTCAACATACTGCTTGGTAGCTTGTCCCCAGTCTATTAGTATTTGTAATTCTGTTATAATTATGGCAATGTATGTCATTTATCAGGCACACCAGGATTATTTAGAACATTGAAAATGATACATCGATCCCTCTTCCACGGCAATAGGAGTCATTTACTCAGACTTCAGGGTATCTACATAGCATACACTGAGTCAAGTTTTGGTTGCTGTATGTAGACTGCTGTACTGCTCTTCACCATGTTCAAGTTAGCAAGAGACATTGTTGGTGTGACAAGGAAAGGCTCTGTGTGCTGGGAATCAAAGGACTTGAGTTCAAGTTCTAACTAATTATTATTATTTTTAGAGACAGGGTCTCACTGTCAGCCATGCTGGAGTCCAGGGGCGTGATCGTGGCTTAACCTCCTGAGCTCAAGTGATCCTCCTGCCTCAGCCTCCCAAATAGCTGGGACTACAAGAGTATGCCACCACACCTGGCTTTCTTTCTTTCTTTTTTTTTTTTTTTTTTAATATGCTTCCTAGAAACAGGTTATTGCTATATTGGCTAGCCTGGTCTTAAATCCTGCCTTGGTTTTCCAAAACACTGGGATTAAAGGCATGAGCCACTATACCCAGCCCAAGTTCAAGTTCTAATAATACAGATTTCTATTTGACTCATATCTCTGAGTCTCAGTGTCTTTGTAAAATATCTGTTCTTGAAAAGTTTGAGTGCCAGACTATATGGTACATTTTAATCCTTAAAGTAAAAGTATAAATGTAGAGGATTGTTTGAAAAAAATCAATCTATTTTTACACTTATTTTCTCCTTTTCAAATTGGGATAATTACTCAATTCTCATTTTCTCCCCTATAGCAAGGATTGTAAAATAACCTAATTTGCTTTGAGCTTATGAGTAGTATGTACTTTTGAGAGGAGTCTTGTCCTTTAAAACTTTATGAGCATCCAAGAAATTCTTAACAGAGAATGGAAAGCTTGCAATGGGGTAAACAGAGTGGTTTAAATAACAGTATTTGGAGAAAGGAAAAAGTATTTGCTAGGGTAGTTTTAGGAAGACTGACAGCTCTGAAGAAATCTTTAGGGTACACTTAGGTGATTTTGCACCTAACTGCCATGCCAAGTCACTGTTCAGAGGCAGAACTAGCCCCAGCAGGGGCATAATCATCTCGTTCACCTCTTCCAGTGTAAAGATAAGTGCTAAGGAACGGAATGATACCAGTGTAGTAGAAACACTCTCTTGCATTCATAAATGCTAAAAATGTCCTAATGAATTAAATTCTTATTGGGTGGTTGCTTTAAAAAAAATTAAATAATTGCATTATGGGAGAGTATGATTTATTTTAGCATAAAGCGAATTTTAGTCTTTTATGGCTTCAGAATTATTTCAAAATATACTTTATTGAAAATCATCAATATTTGGTTATTTTGTCTGAAAGTAATTTGTTCTTATTTACATTTATTAGTAAAAGTATGGTGTGTTAAACTTTATATTTCTATGTAACATTAATAAAATCAATAAAAGGAAGGGATTTTCAAGAAATAATTTTTGCACCTAATTTTTTTTAAAGAGCATTTTAATAAAGTCCTGTCTAGGTTAACCTATACATAAGTAGATGTTCTTACTTTTTAAATAGCAAATAATAATGTATCATCATCAGAATTAAAAATAAGGGAATACTACGGCACTCTGTCATCCTGGCCCATATTCCAATGCTGGATATTCAAATCCCTCTGCAATTTGATGGGGGTAGTCTCCTCCCTGGACAAAGGTCACCCTTAATAAAACATCTACCAGAGTTTCCACAAGCAATTTGCCATGGGATAAGGATTGAAGATGAATAATGGTGTCTCTCCATAATCTAACACTTAGTATAACAAGTGTGAAAACAGATTGAAACAATATACTGTAAGACATTTAGCCTGGGAGTTCAGGAAAGTCTTCCTTACAGAGAGGATAGACAACTGAGCTGAATCTTGGAAGATTGACAGGAAACTGCCAGACAAATGGGAAGGTGGGAACAGCATAAAAATAGGTACAGAAGGAATGTGTATCTCTGTGAAAGTTAAAGGGCTTCCAAGCTAAGGTGGTGGAAAGCTAGCAATCTGATTCATTCTCCTCTTAGGCCTCCTTGAAATACTATGCAAGAACACACACAAAAAACATTTTAACAGGGCTGGAAAATAGTAATATTACAAAGCATCCTGCCAGATTCTAGAAGGAATTTCCACTATGCCAAACTTGGATAAATCTAATAAAGAAAGAAGGAAAATTTAGAGAGAAAAGTCAGATTTCCACCCCAGCCCCATCCCATTTCCACCCTATCTCTCTGGAAACCCTTGTTGTATAAAATAAGACCACAGACTGAAATGGAGGGGAGGCCTCTGAAGGTTCAACAGAGATGAGGAAAGCAAACCTTGCAATTATCAGTTAGTAACTTCAAAAATGCTGTTTAAAAACATGTTGATGACATGTTTTTGAAAGGGTTGTGGTGTCCAACAAAACATCAGGACTCTTTCATTTTGTTAAGGCTTTAGCTTTTTTCCTCTGCCATGCAATGCTCTTTTGATGAAAGCGCAGATTTTTACCTTGTATCACAGACACAGAACTTTTATCAATACTGTCCCTCCCAAGCATAAACACAGCATACAACTCGATAGATGCTCTCTAAGGTGGCCAGGGTATTTCACCATCCCATCCCATCCAATATGCATATTAAGCCTTTTTTTTTCTTTTTTTGAGACAGAATCTCACTGTATCACCCAGGCTGGAATGCAGTGATGCAGTCTCAGCTCATGGCAACCTCCACCTCTTGGGTTCAAGAGAGCCTTCTGCCTAACCCCCCCCACCCACCAAGTAGTTGGGACTACAGGTACTTGCCACCATGCCCGGCTAATTTGTGTACTTTTAGTAGAGACAGGGTTTTGCCATGTTGGCCAGGCTGGTCTCAGACTCTTGGTCTCAAGCAATCCACCTGCCTCAGCCTCCCAGAGTGCTGGTATTATAGGCACAAGCCACCGTGGCTGGCCAAGACTTTGTTAATTGTAGCCATTAGGTAACTATAATGACCAACCAGGAAATATGGCTGGGAGGAGCTTACAGACAGTAAGCAATAGGAAAACCAAATCAAACCACAAAAACATAGATAAAAGTTCTAAACAGATGCTTCACCAAAAAAGATACACAGATAGTGTATTAATTGGTTAAGATTGCTATGAAAAGTACAAAACAGGGAAGCTGAAACAATAGAAATGTATTATCTTTCAGCTGCAGAGACCACAGATCCCAAGATCAAGGTGTTGGCAGGTTGGATTCTTCTGAGGCTGTGTGGGAAAACTGGTTCCATTTTTTTGTCCTAGCTTCTGGTGGATTGCTGGTGATCTCTGGCATTGTTTGGCTCGTAAAGCTCTGCCTTTATCTTTACATGGCATCCTCCCTGTGGGCATGCATCTGTCTTCAAATTTCCCCTTTTTATAAGGACATCAGTCATACTGTATTAAGTCCCATCCTGATAACTTCACTTAATTTCATCTTTTGCAATGACCCTATTTTCCAATAAGATTATATTCATAGGTAGTGAGGGTTAGAACTTCATTTTTGGAGGCACAATTCAACCCAGAAAAGATGGCAAAGAAGCACATAAAAAGATGCTTAAAATCAACAGTCATTATGGAAGTTAAAACTGCAGTAAGATACCACTACGTACCTACTAGAATGGCTTAAAAACAAAAAACAAAACCCCCCAATCCACCACACACACAAACCTGACAATACCAAGTACTAGCAGGGGTCTGAGACAACTGGAACACTCACACATTGCTCATGAGAATGCAAAATGGTACACCTACTTTGGAAATCAGTTTGACAGTTTCTTACAAACATGCACGTATCATATGACCCAGCAAACTCACCTCTAGGTGTTCATCAAAGAGAAGTGAAAATGTAGATTTACACAAAAATGTGTAAATGAACGTTTATAGAACTTTATCCCCAAACTGGAAACAACCCAGATTGTCTTTCAGCTGGTAAACGGGTGAACATCTATCCATATATAAAGCCAGTTCAAGGAAGAAACAACATTTTGTTGTTTCAACATTTGCTGATTCACCCAACAGCATGCATGAAGCTTCAGTGTAGATTGGTAAGTGAAAAAAGCCAGACCCAAAAGACTACATGTTATGTGATTCCATTTCTACGAATTTCTGGCAAAGGCAAAACTATAGGGACAGAAAATAATAAATGATTGCTAGGGGTAGGGGTAGGAGCAATTGACTACAAAGAAGCAGGACAAAAGAATTTGGGGGTGGAATAGAACTATTATGTAAGAAATTGCTGCTAGATACCCAACTTTGAATTTGTCAAAACCATTAGAATCCACTGAGTTAATTTCATGGGATGTAAATTATAAAAACTGTCACCCAGGATGTGGGATTGAAAAGAAAGGAAATGACCTAAGTAACTTTGGACAAGTGTTCAGACTGGCTACTATAAAGCTAAAGATAAAAATAATTATATATGAACATTGTACTCTAGTTTGTAATTTTTTTCACTGACAGAGTTATGTGTTACCGGTTCTAAACTATGAGTATAATAAGGTTGAACTGAGAAAACACAGTGTAAGTAATGAGAGCCAGGCCTCTATCAGTGAAATAAGTTACAAATAAGAAAAAGATGCAGATAGCACTATTCACAATAGCAAAGATATGGAATCAATCCAAATGCCCATCAATGATAGACTGGATAAAGAAAATGTCATACGTATACACCATGGAATATTACACAGCCATAAAAAGGAATGAGATCATGTTCTCTGCAGGGACATGAATGGAGCTGGAAGCCATTATCCTCAGCAAACTAATGCAGGAGCATAAAACCAAATACTACATATTCTCACTCATAAGTGGGACCTGAAAAATGAGAACACATGGACACAGGGAAGGGAACAACACTTACTGGGGCCTGTTGGGGGAGGGCAGTGGAGGAAAGCATTAGGAAGAAGAGCTAATGCATGCTGGGCTTAATAATTAGGTGATGAGTTGACAGGTGCAGCACACCACCAGGGCACATGGTTACCTATGTAACAAACCTGCAAGTTCTGCACATGTACCCCAGAACTTAAAATAAAAAGATGCAGACTATAATGAGACCTACGGTGCTGAAATAGTGTCCAGGGTTTCAGCATGAATTCATAGATACACAAAAAAAATAGATATGTGTGTGTGTGTGCGCGCGCGCGCGCGTGCGCACACGCATTCACAGGTTAGTGTATATACTTTGTATACGTGGACAGTTTAATCAGAGATGGAAACTATAAGAAAGAACCAAGAAGAAATGCTATAGATTTAAAACACTGTAACAAAAATGAAGAATGCCTTTGACAGGCTTATTAGTAAACTGGATTCTGCTAAGGAAAGAAATCTCTGAGCTTGAGACTACCTCATGGAAATCACCAAAACAGAAAAGGGGAAAAGGATGGAAAAAAATTGAGTATGCAAGAACTGTGAGACAACTGCAAAACATGTAACATACATGTGATGGGAATTCCAGAAAAGAGAAACAGAAGAAATATTCAAAACAATAATGCTTGAGAATTTCTCTCAATGTGAAACACCAAACCACAGATCCAGGAAGCTCAGAAAACATCAAGAGGGTAAATGCCCACAGAAAAATTACATCTAGCCACCGAAGTTACAAACTATAAAAAAAAAAATCAAAGATGAACAGAATATTCTGAAGGAACCTAGAGAAAAAAACCACCTTACCTATAGAAGAGTCAATATAAGAATTACATCCAACTTCTCAGAAATTGTGTAAGCAAGAGGAGAGTGGAGTGAAATATTTAAAGTGTTGAGAGAGGGGGAAAGCACCACCATACAATACTATTTTGCCAAAGCGAAATGTTCTGTCCTAAGCCATGGAGGCTAAGTTTGGCAGCACACCAAAATTATAACTTGACATTAGACGTTAAAGCTTGAAGTGAGTTTCAGTTTTTTGGTTCCTTCATTTTTGAAATGGCAAGTTACCTTTATAGGTTGGGACAGTGTCCAACTTTCCTTTTTTAACTTGTTGTCTCTCCAAAGGCCGTTTATGAATTAAAATCCCGTTTATAGGTAGTACCAAGATCAATCTTCCCTTGTTTTGGTTTATACTCTTCTGGCACATGGCGAGGCTGTTTATTTCATAAGGACAATAATCCGACCTGAAATATATAAATTTGAACCATAGCCTCACAAGTTCTTTTATTTCTAATTATTTCAATGAAGTACAGAAAATGTCAAGGCTTTTTTTTTACTTGAAAAGTCTGAGAAGGTAATTAAAATGGTAATAGTTGATCAACTACTTGAAATAAGTAACTGAATTTCTTATAAGGTCCTATCTAGTGATTAAATATCTTGAGAAAAGTAAATATATCAGAAATCCTAGTTTTTAAAACATCATTACAATAGACCTCAGTAAATATTATCCTTTTTTTTCTAACCTGGAAGGAAATTTCAGACAAAATTTACTAAACCTGAAAAGTTTAGAAAACATATTCCCCCTGA